CCGCGCTCCGCCGCGCCGGTGGGGGACGGCAGCCGGGGCTCGTCGGCGCTCTCCTCGGGGGTGGTCTGGCCCAGGTCCCCCTCCAGCGTGGTCTGGCCGGTGTCCGTGGTGACGCTGATGCTGATGTCGGGGCTGCGCTCGCTGCCGGGCTCCCAGGGCGTGTGCTCGGAGGACAGCACCCGCCGCTGCCAGCGGAAGTCGGCCTCGTTGATCTCCACGGACTCGCGCGCCGACTCCGGCCCCTCCTTCAGCTCGTCCAGACGCTGCAGCAGCAGCCGGGCCTGCTCGGGACGCAGCCCCCGGCCCTGGCTGAGCTGCTCCAGCGCCCCCAGCAGGGCGCAGACGCAGGACACCGCCGAGAAGCAGGCCTCGATGCCGCCCTTCACGCAGGCCTCCGTCATCCCATCCATCACCCTGCGGAGCAGACCGGGATCAGAGAGCGCTCTCGGGGGGGGGCTACTGCTCAAGGCGCCATGGGCTTCCCCAGCACGTCGTCTCAGTGCCCACTGCGCGAGCTCTCTACCCCAACGCTCAGTTCAGAACGATGAGTTATCGTCAGTGATTTCAAAAGCGCTGGAACCCTGACTGCAAGGCTAAGGACACCCAAGCACTTTCTGCTCGTTTGCGTTTCTCCAAATCATTCGAGTTGCAGACAAAAAGTAAGATCGGATAAAGAAATAAACTGGTTAACTAAGACTCAGGACAATGGGAGAAACAAAAGCTACTATTAAATTCAAGTGACGATGACTTTTTTCGCACACGGTCGAAGCTGTTGGGAGTGCGAGCCTTGAGGCTTTAAAAAAAAAATAATTAGAAAACATGTAGCCGACATGTAAAAACAAAAGTGCACAGTCAGATTTATACCCTCACTGGTTTGTCCAAGCTTTCTGTGGTCTTGTACACAAATGCAAGGCGGGCGAGTGTAATGGCCCTGAAACCCCAGCCATCGTTTACAAGACCCCAAGTCCACACGCTGGAGGCAGTCAACAGGGGTCAGCTGACTCACAGCTTCAGGAGGTCCAGGTGAGATTTCCTCTTGGAAAAGGACCGCTTCCGGGATTCTGACTCCGAGACGGGCGGTCCTGCTAGGTCAAAGAGGCGCTGTGAGCTGCCCAGAATCTGCTCGCAGGCGACGCCACCACCCAGGGGAGCAAAACAAAGAACCATGAAATTGGTAAAACAGCCTTCACCAATCCCCTCAAACCACATCGCCTTTCTCCAGGTACTTGCAGACGGGGCGACAATTCCAGCTTTCTGTTATTTCAAGGCTGCCATCCTGTTTCTAGGAGGTCAGAGAGTCAATACAAACAAAGTGGGGTTATAAATCTAGACAACAGTTTCCACCTGTTGCTACGTCCCACTTCTGAAAGCGTCCCTGTCCTGAGAGCTGGAATGGACAGCATAACACTCAACATCCCTCCTGCTCTATTCGCAATTTCCACCTTCCCACCCCTTCGGGAAGACCAGCTACCATTAACCGAATGCCAGGAAATCCATTTTCTGCTTTCAAAGCAGCCCTCTGATATTCTTACTGGGTGCAACGAACTGGCTCAAAGCAACAGCCCCAGGACCAGCAGAGAGCCCAAGCACGCTGTGCGGACAGCCTCCGGAAAAGACAAGATAAACTTCACTGTCCCCCAGCGGAAAACCTTCACAGACACACAGTGCGCCTGTACATCGGAATACATCACATCTATTAGCTGACACAACGTGATCAGTTTCTGCTGGCTCGACTGGGTTTACCCTTCCCATTTATCTGTATTGATTGCCTCAATAGATGAGGGAACAATGAATATCTGTACTCATTTGATCTCCATTTGGGCAACCTAAAAAGTTTGCCAGAGGGAAGAAGCTGGTAATTCAGAATTCGGAAATCTGAAAATCTTTTTTTTTTCCCAGCAGTCTAATCGCAGATTGTTCAATGATTGCCCAGTGCCGCCCAGGTGACTACCCTTACACAGTTAATTATTTTATCAAGGCAAAAAAAAAAATAGAGCACGAAATATTTCTCTTAAGATTCCCTATGATTAATTAAAGATCCATTGCCCAACGCTGTCGAGAACGCCCCAGTGGGGCCCCCGCGGCCTCACCTCCTTCATGATCCGGATGGCCTCCACTCGGTGCTGCGGCGGGGGGTACAGCAGGATGCGGTGGTACAGCGACTGCAGCACCGGCTTCATGGACTCCACGCAGCCCACCAGGCGCACCAGCTCCGCCCCCATGTAGTAGATGGTCCGCGCCACGGGGCCAATCAGGGCCGGCGGGCTGGAGGAGCAGCCCGAGCCCCGCCCCTGGTCGGAGACCCCCGCCGACGGGGGGTCCGTCTCCTGGGTGACCCCGCCGTGGGCCGACGTGATGGTCTTGTCGTTCATGGGGTTCCCCAGGATCACAATCAGCGCTGGGCAGAGCTGCTTCCTAATCAAAGGGTTTGGGGGAAAGGCAGGCAAGGCCTTCAGTAGACTCGCTACAAGGCCATGTTCGTTTGCAGTAGGGGTGGCCCCCATCCCAGCAGACAAGAGAGTAAAAGCTCTGGGCTCTCTTACAGCTGACTGAGTGACTTTTTTTCAGCAAAGGGAAGGAAAAGCACAGGAGCACAAGCATTTCTGGCAGCGTATAAGTTTGCATACTCTGGTCACAGAGCTCTCTGGGTTTTCTCGCAAATTATCTGCTGAACTGGCAAAGTTTAATTATCAGCCTTTGGTCACTGATAATTAAAGAGTAACCACAGAACTGTCCGTCTTCCAACGGACAATGAAATGTCTAATACTCACAGAACCCTTACAAAGTTTCAGATTGCTTCAAGGTTTGGCTCTGTCGCCATAAAGAGGAAATAAAAGGCTCAGGCTTGAGCATGCCCTTACCACACCAGGTCAGTGAAGCCCCTGTGGACGTGCATGCTCAGGGGACAGCTGCTCAGCATGGAGAGGATGCACTCCAGGTAGAGGAGCTGCAGCTGCTGGTTCTCACTGTGGAAATGAGAAGAAATAGTTTCTAATTAGGGGTGTTGCTCCTGTGTCCTGGCCAAATTTCCCCCTGGCCTTTACCAATCAAGGCCTCCTAATAAGCCCCATCTATGCTGCTGCATCTTTCAGGTGGGGCTACACATTGGTGGTGGCAGTGGGATTCCCCATTACCTGTAAAGCTCTTTGAGTGGAGTGTCCAGAAAGGTGCTGTATAAGTGTAAGGACATTAATATTAGAAGTAGTTGTGGTAGTGGGGAGCAGTCCATGCTAGTGACTAATTAAGACAAGATCATTTACCCCACATGTGCAAAGAAAATGTCAAAGGATTAAATATTCCAAGCAGTTTGGGATACATTTACAGGAGGGTTATTTTAGTTGAACAAATCTGAGATACTGTGTAAAAACAAAATGCACAAAAAATGGAGCAAAGCTTGTGCACAGTACTCACTTAATGATTCCTTGCAGCTTCTCGCAGAAGACAGTGAGGACGGTCACAACGTCTTCACACAGAGACTCTGTCGTAGGGGAAATGTCTAGAGACATGAGAGCATTTCCGTGAGAGGTGAATCAAGAGGCTAACAAAAACAACTGACTCAAGACAACATCCTGAAAGCTCCTCTCTTTTCTCCTTCAGAAAAGCAGATGCCTGCAATGCAAGTGACACAGTGTCAGGCTATATACTGTACACCAACCCTGCCCCACGGGCCATGATCTCTCCTGTTCCCAGTTGTCCTGGTTCCACGCCCAGACACATGACTGCAGCAATATGATGAGGACGATGTCGTGTTCGGGACATACCTCTGTGCTGAGAGAATGGCATCAGCTCTTCCTCACCCTCTGACGCCTGAAGGGTCACAATCAGAGAAGAGAACGTTAAACTGCTCCTGCTGACCGACGCTAGTGAACAGCTCTCTACTGACACACCATGTCATTCTAAGGTGGAATTAAACCTGCAAGCACTCGCTATCAACTCCAGTAGCTGTGGCAGCAGCTATTCTCCAGGCAAAGATGAATATCAAGCTTGGTCCTTCCAGATTGCAACAGACCAAGAACGGCACACAAACTGACACCAGTATCGCATGTCTTTTATAAACTGGGAATGCTTAATACTTAATGTCAGTCAGTCATTTAGTGTTGGGTTTTAAAACATCACCAAACATTTGCCAGGACCAGTGCTGTGACAAAATTCTTTTATGGTTGCCGTTTTCTTGTTTAATCTAATATTTTACTTACATTATATATACTCCAAGTAAATCAGACATTTTATCCGATTATCACCATTTGAGCTTGCTAATATTAGCAATATATAGCCAGTTTGTCCTTTAGCACTCAGCTGTGTTGTCACATCGCAACAAATTATAAAACTAAACATCTCTCTAAAAATTTTCCTTATGACTAATTAAAGATACTTAAAAAGATACTGGGAAAAACCAGACAATGCAGAGAACTACCCAGTCGAGTTTCAGTTAGGACTGGATTAGTTTATAAGGGAAAAGAAATGTTTCAGCCGTTCAGGACAACAAAGTACATTGCGCTCTGACAATCAGAGTACACAGCAGACTAACCTATACTGGGATTCTCTTTATGAAATAAAAATTCAGTAACTTTGTCTAGCTCACAAGTAAAACACGTTACAATTTATTCACCAGCAGGGCAACATTACAGCAATAGAGAAATGACCGTGCTGAGCACCGAGGCCCAGGCAGACCTGTCCCACGCACACAGCTCTGCTCACGGCTGTGAACCCACGAACCACTGCTGCCCCAGCAGCAGGGGACTGCAGCCTATCCTTTAACATATGGATCTGGAATTGGAGAGCAGGGCCAGCGAGCGCCTGTGCGTGAGTTCACTTCTACAGACGGCAGTAAGGAAGAGTCCACACTCTGACCATTTCACCTTTGGTTAGTATCAGAAAAGGTCACGTTTCAGCGTCCCCTGCGCCTTGAAGCAACCCTTTTACTGCCAGAACTCTGTACCCCCCAGCTCTTTCTGGCACAGGAAGAAAACGTACAGCTTGGAGGAAGCAAAGAAGCCATGTTAGAAACGGCTATTAAAAAAGAAAGAAATCATTTCTTCCTCCTCAAACTGCCAAGCGGAATAAGTTCCATGTGCCGAATCGCAAGCCAGAGGTCTGCCTGCGGCCCGTTCTGGACGGGGGTTGTTTCGGGGGAAGGCCCGACCCGAGACGCTCGCTCGCTCGCTCACCGGAGAGTCCTGCCTCTGCCGCAGCTGCAGGGTCAGGTCGCTCAGCATCTGGCTGAGGGTGGCGCGCACGGCCGTGTTGATGCTGCGCTGGTGGCAGCTGGCCTTGTACGTCTCGATGCACACCTGGGGGACACACCAGGAGAGACCATCAGGGGCAAGAACATTTGGACCCCCCCCACCTGATACAGGAGAACCTGAGAGTTTCATTCTTTATCAGGGAAAAGAGGTTCATTCCGCTCTCCCCCAGACAGGACACTCGGGGTGTTAGTGTGTGTGGTCTCAACATTTACATACCCGCAGAAACAACTCCACTCAACGTTGACTGAGGAATAAATAAACAGACTTCAATTAACAGGTCTCAGTTAGTGGTCTTAGTTAGAGCCTCAGATTAGACGAATTACCCTGGTTTCTTGAAGAGATAACCTTAAATATGCAAAACCTTTCACATTTGTACAAACTACTCATATCTATAAGAAGAGGCCTGTCAATCTGGCATCGCCCTGCTCAGATGTCCCCTTGTGGGGAAGTGGTTATGGGACAGCGAGGAAACACAACACAGCTGGAAGTGGGAATTTCAGCAGCTCAAACTGCACCATCGCAAACGGGAGCTGAGCTGAGGGCTTAAACCAGTTCAGCCAGCCGTCCCAAGGGCAGCCATGAGAAATGCTGGCATCGGCTCCTGCCATGAATACAGAACATCACAGAGGCAGAGATTAGAAACATGCCGCTGACCAGGAAACTGCTCTATAGGATTCTTTGATAATCGGCTCCTAGCCACCAATTCTACTCATTCTAAGCTTCAAGTGAGCTAGACGGGTTGAATGGTCTCCTCTAGTGTTTTCACCTTATGATCTTAAAACAGGAAAAAAAAGCAACCGATTCCTTCTTCAATGCCTCTGTGTGAACAGAACAGCCCATCTAAAATCAGAACCAGGCCGTCAATATCTGTGCTTTTGCAAATATATTATTTTTACTACACACAGGGTCATTAGTACACGTAAGACTCTATTGATCTGTAACATATCCCACTTAAGCCTCCTTCATAAATCACTTCATAGTGTTTTGTCTAACAGTTCAAGCATGGTGTCCTCTTAAGCTTCAAGTCTGATTCAAGACTCACAAACCTCAAATTTTCCATCTCCAAAAGGTACTATGAAGATCTTTATCGCTTCTAAAAGGGGTTTGAATCTCATCACATAAGCCAGTAAAGGACTTTCTTCCCATTGACTGCATGCCAAACTGAACTTTTTAACAATATTTTTATTTATGATCTGTATTTACTGTATATTGCTCAATCAAACTCAAACAAATATTAGTGGCTTAGTAATGGAAGCCAGCCCAATTAGCAATCGGACCCGAGACGCCTACAGCTTTCACTAGGAAGAGAGCTTGAGGAATTTAAACTGATGAGGAGGAGGAGAGCGTTCAACTTCTACATCACCCTGATATTCAATGTTGAATAACACTGTACTATACAAATACAACCACAAACGTTCCCCAAACATAACATTTTAGTAATTGGAATTATCCTAATGTACATGCATCCACATATTCTCAGTGGTAAAGAATATCAGTGAGGACCTGCCTCACATAAATAGGGATATTTTTTTCTATCGTCTGTCTATTTTTCCTCTCTTTAGGTGGGTAGGAACCGGGTGTGCAAACACAGATGTGCCTTTTTGTTGTCACGGCCACAGGTGCCATGGAGACCACATGAAGTGGCGCCGGGAACAGAGCACCTTGGAATTTGTTTTATTAATACGGATTGATCTGAAAGGGAGGATTAGCCTGCTGGAGAGACTCTACGCTGCTCCCTACGTCAGCCCTGTCCCCAGCCCACGCAGCCTGAGCCACACACTGCGAGACCGTGGAGCAGCAGGGTCCAAGGGTTAACACCCGGACACATCAGCACCAGTGACGCAGGATCTGGGCAGCACACACTTTCCCCAGCTCCTGCATCCGCGGGGATCCAGGAGAGAGAGAGCAGCCACACGAAGCTGCAGGGCAAGAGCAGGTACTCAGGAGTACCAGAGGTGCTGGGTAAACACCAACCTCACACAGGCCATTAGCAACAGAGACAACAAACTGCTGCGGCACATTTCTCACCTCAGATTGCCTAGACCAGCTTTGCACATATCCCTGTAACATGAAAAAACGAGGGTCCCCTCCATATATCTCTGGGGCGGAGCGGTGGCTCTGGGGCTAAGGATCTGAGCCTGTGACTGGAAGGTTGCCAGTTCAAATCCCGCGGCCAGCAGAGGAATCCTACTCTGTTGGGCCCCTGAGCAAGGCCCTTCACCCCAACTGTTCCAGGGGCGCCGTATAAATGGCTAACCCTGCACTCTGACCCCCAGCTTCTCTCTCCCTGTCTGTGTGCCTCATGGAGAGCAAGTTGGGGTATGTGAAAAGATGAATTCCTAATGCAAGAACTTGTATATGGCTAATAAAGTGATCTTATCTTATCTATATATGCAACTATATAGAGAAATGGAGGGTGGGGGGAGGGCAGGTAGTAGCCATTTGATCGTGCTAAAAGGAACGTGGCCAGTTTATATGAGAGAATCGCACAATATCAGAGGAAGCCTAAAGTGAGCGTCCTGCTGTGGTGTAGGAAACCAAAGGCTGCTGCAGCAAAACAACATCTAAGAAGATGTTTCGTCTTATTAGACATGCAGGGTGTCACAACAGCGCCGAAATGAAATCCATCAGGATAATAAAAGGTCTCGTTATCCTGTCCATGTGGTAATGGATAACGAGAATCTGCTCATGGATAATAATAACTCTGAAAGCAAAGAGCGAGCTCCTGTACATCCTGGGAAAATAATGAAGTAGAAAAGGGACCTAGCCTAATTATTATATCATTCAGTTCCGCCTAATTCAGTCCCAAACAATAGATCATCATAAATCCTTTAAGTGTTAATCAGCTTAGAAGGTCATTGTTTAACTTGGGTTTTTTTCAGGTGGCTTGTCCTGCACATTTTCCCCTATGATAACACATACCTCTGAAGATATTAAAGATATGACATATGATGTTGAAGAATACAGTAGAATTATATTGTATTATGAAGATATTAAGTTGTCTCAGAACTCAATGCAACTTTGCACTACACACTTTTTGCATGGACTACCACGTGTTTTTCACTACCACATATTCATCGCTCTCTCCAGCTGTTTATTATTAATCATCTATTGTTATCATTTATTATGTTTGCAATGTACTGTCTACACTGTGTGGTGTTGTCTGTTGTACTGTGTATGTCCTGAGAGATCGGCGCGATTAAGAATTCCAATGTACATGTACAGTACATATGACAATAAACTCCTCTACTACTACTCCACTGTTGATAACTAATATTAATCTTCTAGAGAGTTCAGATGTATGAGTATCGCATACATTTGAAATATATCCAAGATGATTAGAACATGAACACTATCAGAAAAACAACAGGGATAATTTCTCCAATCTGCTCTGCTAAAGTCGGTGAAACTGCACGTCTGTGATTTAGGTGATATATTGCTCCCTAAAATGCTTAAATAATCTTGGAAAAACCGCCCAAGCATTCCAAAGTTATGCTGTGAGGAAGACCAGGGGCATTCCTTATAGTAAGGTATTCATTGTTTTGCATTGTTCACTTCTTAATATTCTGTGCTCTACTGTGCAAGATTAGTTCATGAGAGCATTTAAATGTTACACGAAAGAGAGCTTGAGGAATTTAAACTGATGATGAGG